GTGTAACATTAGCTTTCTTTGACCCTGAGGGTGCGAGGTGGAGCTGTGAGTTACAGTATTTTGCTTTGCAGGCAGCCGTTTTGTCTTCGAAGTTAGCATATATGGAAGCGCGATGGAGTGCATCGTCGAGTGAGTCCGTAGGTTGGAGCGTGAGCTCTGCCTTAAACCTCGACTGGTACCAAAGGTTGGTTTGCAGGACAAGCAGCGCTACTGCTTCGTTAGGGTTAGCGATTTTCGCTTTGATCGCTTTGAACTTAGCGATGTATGATCGAAGTGTTTCATCTGGAGCTTGGACTAGTTTCCAGAGGTCAGCTTCGGTTTCTCGTTTTTCGATGAATATCAAATACTGCTGGAGGAAAGCTACTGCGAGCTAATTGAAATTCGAGATCGAATTTTCTTCCAGCGTCGCGAACCATTCCTGAGCTGGTCCGACTAGATTTTTGGCAAAGAGCCTGCAATATCCTGCTTCTTTCTCTTATGGGGAGAAATTAGCTCAGATAGCTGCGAGGTTGAAGAGTCGGATATGAGCTTTTGGGTCGTTGTTTCCAGCGTACTCCGGGACTCTTACTTTGGTAGTGTCTCGGAGGTATGCGTGCATGATCGAGTAGGTGAATGAAGTCTGTTGGGTCTCGCGAATTACTCGATCGATGTCGGGAGCTGAGCTCGTGGCTTGATGAAACATGGAGTTCATCTGCCGAATAACGTAATCGGTCTGGTTCTGGAATCTTTCGACTAGGTTTCTTGAGCCGACGCCGAGGTGATTAGCTCGAGTCGGATCATTCGGAATGTGAGTTCCGAGTTGTTGATGAACGAACCCTACGGGTTGTTCGCGGATTCCGTTGGGAGGTCTCGAGCTCGAGGTCATGTTCGGCTGCTGGCCGAGCTGGGGTGGCGTTTGCGAACTCGAGGCAATTGCCAAGGATCCAAGCCATCTCTGTCGTGGCAGATCGGTCCCAGGTGGTCTTAAAGGTGGAGATGGATATCTCGTGTTGGAACGAGGTCCCATTTCGGGTATTCCTGGTGTCAGCACAGGTGGAGATGGATATCTCATCGTGGGACGAGGTCTCATCTCCGGTATTCCTGGAGATGGAATATCCATGGCGATTGGTGTTTGGTTCATTGCAGGGGCAAAGTTCGATGGGCCTGGAGCACGCAGAGGTGTCACGTACGGTCTGGGTGGATTACTCAGAGCAGGGATCGATGAAAAATCAAGCTGAGTCCGTGGAGGTGGACTTACAGCGGATCGAGCTGCGGTTTGATGCCGTTCCTGCTTTTATAATCTGATCTCCTGATCTCGTTGTCGATCGATCAGATGTGTGAGCATTTGGAGTATCTCCGCCGACTCCAACGTGCTCCTGGAAGCTGCGGGTATCGGCGGGGAAACAGGAGCTGCTTGGCTCTGTGGTGCCGAAGTTGTAGGTGGATTCTCATATCGCACCCAGGTTCGAGAGGAAGGCCTCTCAGCTGTTTGTGACTGGTTACTCGTCGTACCCGGTGGGGTGACGAGGTAAATCACGATCGGTTCCACACGGCTGGGAACATTAGAGTTTGTGCCGGTGGTGTCGACGAGGGTCGTAACCCTGGGTTCGTTTCCGCCGGCTGTCTGGCTGACGCTGCCAGTCGGAGTAACTTGATCTGGAGAGATCGGAATCGGTGAGACGTTTCCCGAGGTTTGTTGAGTTGAATCCATTTCGGTTTCAGCTGGCTTAGGATCTGCTCTTGAGTAAGAGAAATCTATAGATCTTTCTCCACAAACGGCGCTAAAATGTGGATGCATAAATCCACACTCAGAAATTTATGTGTATTTGTAAGGAAAGAACTTTAGGAGAATTAAGAGCTAGATTCTCTCGAACAGATTGATAATATAAGCTAGCACTAACTGAAATAAGGATTTTGTATTAATCAGTCGAATGAAACGGTTACAAGGATTTCGATGAAGAAGATAAACTGAAAAGAGCTCAAGGAGCAGTTACAGTGTATTCGAGTGTAAAAAGTATGTAAAGAGATCAATCCCCAGGTCCCTTGAACCAAGCCATTCTCCTCTTTTATATAGCTCGCCTCGTCGAGCATCAACCTCCAGCGCGTATCTCGACCACGTGCAGCAGCCTCAGCCGGATATCTCGCCACGTGCAGCAACTTTCTCCGCGATCTTCGGACTCGTTTGAACCGGTGGAAATATTCTCTGACTTGGCTCGGACTCTTCTTTGTTTCTCGGGATTTAGTCGAGCTGGAGCTCGACCTCGCCGATCGGAACGTCTTGTTGCTTAGGATTGGATTGTCGAAAGGTGAATGGGCCTGGACCGCAGGGTCGAAGCCCAGCCACTTTGGCTTAGTATGGACATGTCCGTTGGGCTTGAGTGGGCCGGATTTGAGGTGTCAAATCCAGCTCCGACACTCTTAGCCAAGTTTTTTTTTATTATAATATTGTATATATGAATAAAAAGTAGAAGTAAAAGTACAAAATAAATTTTTACGACTTTAGTTTTATATACAAATCTGAGGTTATATTTTTGAATTAAAGCATCTCCAACTCACCTTTATTTTAAATGTTTTAATTTAGAGGAAAAGGAAAGGTTGTTACTTTTTCAATTATAGATGAAAAAATAATAATCTTTTTTTTTATAAAATAGAAATAGGTTGGAGAGAAGTCCAATTATATTTTAGAGAAAAAAATATAAAAAAATACATTTGAGATAATCTTAATGTTAAATATATTATTAAAGGTTAAAAAATATGAGTCAAAAAAGAGAAAAAAAAAAGAATCGATTTTATGTTTTTATTTCAAATATTTAAAATATTATCTTATACATATTAATTTTTTCATGCATATATTTTTTTCAGAATATTAAAACATTATTTCATGAATCAAATTTTTTGTATATGTTGTGATCCATTATATTTTGTATAAACAAATATATTAAAGTTAGGAACAGATCAACTCTTAATTTTAAATATAACAATCAAATATTAAATATATTATTTTACACTTTAAATAATACACAAATAAGTTTGGATTTGATTGGCTTAAACGATTATGTAACACAGAGTTTATGGAAATGAGCGGTTGTGGATTATTAAAAATTTTGACGAAGAGATGAGCGGAGAGCTACCGGAAAATTTTATAAAATATGATTTCACAAATTTAATAATAAATATTTATTATATTTCTATTAAGAAACCATATATCATAAAACTCTGAAAAATAAATTTTTTGATTAAATACAAAATGATAGAAACAGTTTTTGTGATTGTTGTTAAACGCCAATAAATACATCGTATAAAAACATGACGTTTGCGGAAAATATAAAAAAACTTACCAATACCTAAATATTACAATCCACTTATTTCTGACTCATACCTAAATGTATAAATATACTTATTATTTAAAAAAATCAATCATACGATATAAAAATATGTATTACAAAACTTATACTTTGTTATTTTTCTTTTAACACATAAAAGCCATACTTCGAGTTTTTTATAAATATACGTGTAGATATAAATATTAATTGTGTAAAAGTCAAACTTGCATGCAAATTTGTCGTGCATACATTTTGTTAACCTCGATTACACTCTAATTTTAATTTTAGTTGTAAGATAATTTTATATATTTTTTTAAATCATTATATGTCCTAAAAGCGGTGAGGTGGTTGGTACGCATGAATTTGCGGACCAACCATCTACCCGCTCTTAGGATAAGTAAATATGTTAAAATTTATTTTGGTTTAATTAGCAATAGGCAAGGAAAACAATAGTTACAAAAAAAAATATGGTTATATTGTGTAAAAGTGTAGTATAGATAATATTCAAAACATATTATAAAAATTTAATTATTATTTAATATAACTTTTATAATTGTAATTATTTGTTAATGTAAAAGCTAGAAAAAAAAATTTCAAAAGACACAAAAAGATAGGAAACGTTTGTGTGATTGTTGTTGAACACTAAAAATATATATGTATATAAATATAATGTTTACATAAAGTATAAAAAAATTAATCAATACTTAAATATTACAACTAATTATGTCTAAAGTGTTATACATGCACATGCGTGCGAGTCAAAAATAAAAATTAAATAATTAATTATAGATTTTCATGTTTTCCTATTTATTTAGTTATCATATTTGAGTTTTTTTATCTAAGAAAATATGTTAAAGTCTTAGTTAATATTTTTATCTTTATTTTCTTTTAAAATCTTTAACATTTTATATTTAATTTATTATTTTTTATTATTAATATATAATTAATTATATGCAAATGAAACAAATTCAATACTATACTAATAATAATTAAATATTTTATAGCATACATACGGTGCAAGCCGATCACCTAGTATTTATTAACAACGTTGGATATTTAGAAAGTAAAAAAAATCCACCGCTTATATTTTCCAAACCCAGGATACTTTCTATTGAAATGGGAAGATAAATTTCGAGGAATCGAGTGAAATCTTGAACAATTGTTGTCAATTTGTCAGCTTGATTAGGGACTGAGAAAGTAAATCAAAGTTTGAGAAACTCCAGCCTGATTTTCGAACATGAACATGAGGTGAGTGTAGGTTTAAATTTCTTCATGAAAGTTATAGCTTGTTAGTTGAATAAATTGATGAACGTGCGTCTTTGATGAAAAACGAGTGTAGTAATATTATCAGATTTACTTGAATAGAAATTATGTAATTAAATGAACACCAAGTTTTCTCCATCATAATCATTGAGTGGTTTGTCTCACTCATTGCAACATACTATATCGATAAGATATCTTCATCTGGAAAAGACCCTTTGTTCTTCTTGAAGAACTCTTTTAAGTCTTTGCCAAGTCCTGGCCTGCAAAAACAGGGCTCTGAATTTCTATAGAAATGGAGAAACTAGATGTAACTCAGGAGTTATAACTGAAAAAAGATAGATAAAAAAGTAAAGTACATGTTCTTTGCATTTCTTTAGATGTTTTGATGAAAAGATTTTTTCTTTTAATAATCAGAGAGAAAAAGTTGAGCAGTTGATGCTTGAGCCGAGCACAAGATATGCCATTGTATGTGACAACCTCAAGAAAGTGTATCCAGGTATGGATGGGAACCAGCCTAAAATGGCAGTTCAAGGGCTATCTCTCGCGGTACCTTCAGGAGAATGCTTCGGCATGTTAGGGCCCAATGGTGCTGGAAAGACCTCCTTCATCAATATGGTCAGTACACAAAAATGGTCCAGAAAATCTTTAATTTGTTCTTAGATTATATAGTGTAGTTTTTTTGGTCAGATGACTGGGCTTGTGAAACCAACATCTGGAGCAGCTTTTGTTCGAGGTTTGGACATATGCAATGATATGGATAAAGCATACACCAGCATGGGTGTATGCCCACAGCACGAATAATTAAATTATATTCTTGGAAACATTTTTCATCAAATTGTTTCATATCATTCTCTTATTAGTGTGTTTATGTACACTAGCTTGCTCTGGGAGACTCTGACAGGAAGAGAACATCTGCTCTTTTATGGGAGACTTAAGAATCTCAAAGGCTCTGATCTCAACCAAATATATTACTAATATTTTACTTCTCTAGCTTTTATATTATAATTCTAAAATATCATAACATGAAATGTTTCGTGGAGGAGTTTCTGATAAACCTGCTGGAAAATACAGTGGTGGTATGAAAAGACGGCTAAGTGTAGCCATTTCACTTATTGGTAGTCCTAAGGTACACAGCATTGTCCCTTGAACTTATTTGCATGTGATTTATATAAAGAGCTAAAGTTTACAAGCTTTAACAAATCCATTGTTTCATCTACTGTAATTGTTTTTTCTTATAAAAGGTGGTGTATATGGATGAGCCGAGCACAGGACTGGATCCAGCTTCAAGAATGAACCTATGGACGGTCATCAAACGAGCAAAATCACACACTGCGATAATTCTCACTACTCACTCAATGGAAGAAGCAGAGTTTCTCTGTGACCGATTGGGTATTTTTGCAGATGGAAGGTTACAATGCATAGGGAACCCAAAAGAGCTAAAGGGAAGATACGGTGGTTCTTATGTGTTTACTATGACAACAGCATTAGAGAATGAGAAAGATGTAGAGATGTTGGTTCAAAATGTTTCTCCAAACGCCAAGAAGATATATCACATCGCAGGGACACAGAAGTTCGAAATGTCTAAAGAAGAAGTTCGAATCTCAGAAGTGTTTCAGGCGGTGGAGAAGGCCAAGAGCAGCTTCAGGGTGTTTGCTTGGGGACTTGCGGACACAACTCTTGAAGATGTCTTCATTAAGGTCGCTAGAACTTCCAAAGCTTTTAATGTATTTTCTTGAATGTCAATATTTGCTTTGATGTCAATGTCAACGTGGTCATGCAAGGTTTTTTTAATGCATTGTTAATTTCGCTGCAAGTTTGTGAGTTTCTTTAAGGTTTCTTTAACTTGTTTATTTGTGAGTAAATTAATGTGAAACAAAATAAGAATACTTAAATTGTGGCTACGCATTAAATTCTCTCAATTTTTGGCTGACATGTGAATTATGATGTATATGATGTTAATACTTGAGATTGGAGGTACTGTAATATGGATTCCTGAAAGAAATTAAAAAAAAAAAAAAGATTTTCGCAGTCTTTGGCGTCAAAACGTTGAATTATTTCTCAAGTACTGGTTAACTTGCTATTCAAGTAACACGCCTACTGCAAATCAACTTTCCACTTTTATATTTTCTTTACCAATGAAACAAATCAATTTGATCAGAAATAAAGGCACTATTCTTTTTCTTTACGAGTTAGCAAATCAAATTAAAGTGTTTGGGGACTTTAATCGGCTTACTCAGGTTGCTAGAACTGAGGGCCTTGAATGTCTTCTCTTGAAAAAAAAAACAAGACATTAACTTAAAAACAGCGTATAATATTTTCTAAATAGATCATATATTTACTTTCTTGAATAAAAAAAAGTGTAAATACATATCAGCTTCATTTTTGTTGCATTACATATAAATAAATTAAATTACAAAAAGTTAAAAAAAAAAATTATTTATTAGACATAAATAAAAATCATTCGTATTCAACAAACATACTCTCAAATCTCTGCGGTTTCAAATATCTTTTTGTAATCGAACAGAAGAATAATTTTCATAAATAATTAATGGATATATAAGTTATAAGCTACTTTCCTTTTTTACTTTGATTGTAACTTGTAAGTAAGCACGTTACAAGTTAAGCATTTAATAAGTAAGCAAGCAAGTTAAGTAAATAAGCAAGCAACAAACAAAGCAGAAGAACAATCGAATAAGCAAAGAGGGAAGCAGGTAAACAAGTTAAGCCAATGTAGGGAAATGAAACATGGAAGCATTGAAGCAAAGACGAAAGCAAGCAAACAAGCAACGAAGTAGGCAAAATAAGCAAAAAAACAAAGAAGGAATCAATAAACAAAACAAAGATTCAACGAAGCATTGAAGCAAAGAAGAAAACAAGCAATAAAGTAAAACAAAAAGCATAGAAGGAATCAATAAACGTACAAAGGAAAAGCAAACAAGAAATAAAATAAGCAAAAGAAGCAAAAAGCAAAGAAGAAATTATTAAACAAAGCAAGGATATAAGGATGTAAAAATGCAAGATTATGTTATATATGCATGTATGCATGCATGAATATGTGTGTATGTATGTATGTGTGTATGTATGTATGCATGCATGCATGCATGCATGAATATGTGTGTATGTATGCATGAATATATGTATGAATGCTTGAATATGTAATGTTTTTGGAGATTCAAGAGATCATAGCATGATATCGGTCATTAAGGATACTGTTGGAGAATTTGTTGGTCACATTGGCTATAAAATCTGCTACTGCATAAAAAGAAAAGAAAATGTAACTCCAAAGTACTACAGAGACTATACTAAATAAAACAATTGTAGACATACCTGCAGGGAGAAGGATGAAACTTAAGAAGCTAGAAGATAGAGCTCTAGAGGGTGCCTCTCAAACATTATATATGATCTGCAAATAAGAGTAGACATTGAGAACACATCAAAAACTTATAATCTGCAAAATAATTTTAAAACCATTTAAATCAAGACCTCACCCATTCCACAATTTGCTCTGGTTATTGGTTTTTCTCTGTAACTTCAGCCTTCATGCTTTCAGAGCTAAAGACGGGGGTGCTTTAAGCGGCATCGAAATTAAGGGATTCATCAAAAGCTCCATGTGGATATGTTTAACATCATCGCAGTGATAAGAAGGCCTATCAATATTGAGATCATATGAAAAACAAATTGTCGTATGAATAAAAAAGATTGCCTTGAGATGAATAAAACAACCTGCAAAGTGGTATGCAGAGGCAAGTTCCTCCAGCCATTCACACTCTCTCGCGCTGCTTATATGCTAGAAAAATGAATAATTACAACGCATGCACAAACAAAACCTTTTATCAATTTACTACTGTATATAGATTCAGGACAAGTTTAAACAGCAAATGTACCTTATTCAATTTGGTAGCTGTAACTTTGATTGTAAACAAATGGCCACCACACTTCACCAGCTGGAGTATTTAGTCTCTTTCACCTATAATATAAGATTAATACACAAGATACATGATTAGTTATACGGTTGTGGGCTTTTGTAGAACAAGTACTTGTCGAATGTCTCTCATACAAACAACTAAAATTACCTTAATAAATTACTCCCAATAAAGGTTTAAAGCAATCTCTTTGAATTATGTGGACATCTTCGACAACAAAGATACGTACAGATCTCCTTAGTGCACTAATAGAAGCACAAACACATACCACTATATCAGAATCGTGAATCGTAACAAAGAATCAAAATCACAAGTTCAGAACTTGAAAAAATGATTGGTTTACAACAGATGATACCTTCGAGGAACTTTAACTTTGATGGCTTTCTTTATAAGCACACATCTTTCTTACCGAAATTTTCAGAAATGACCACCGTAGTTTGGACATATACCTAAAATGGAGAACACACACATAATCATTAATCTTCACAATTTAAAAAAAGAAACCCATAAATATTTCAAATGATTTCTCACATTTGCAGTGTATGTAATGATAGAAATGTGGTTCACTCTAACTAAAATCTAACATGGGACTCGAAAGAAATCAGATAGAAATTAGAGAATAGCAAATATTAGGACCTGTGAAAAGTGAAGATAAGGCAAATGGTGTTGTTTAGTTCTCATCACTGCCACCACAACTGTTGCATATTCTCGTCTTGGATCTTGTCTCCAGATCCAATAATAGCCTTCGACAAACCTAAGACGCATCATAAGTAAATTGAAGTCTGATCATGTTTTGAGTTTTCAAAGCAACTCCAAGTTATGAAGACGAATAAAAGCACACACAGCCCTTTGGTTACTAATTCATGTACGAACCTCTCTTTTTCTGAGATTGGTTCACATATTCACATAGACTAGGAAATCTGCTACTTCATGGAAAGAACAAAGAAAACAAAGAATATAATTTCAAACTATAAGAGAAAAGTCAACAACTAAGCAGAATAAAGAGAATTAGGATTAAACATCAGAAACAAGAAGATGACACTTTAGAGGTGACTCTCAGTCATTTTAGAGCTCCACTCTGATGGACCTGAGATAAGCAAAACGACGCGCTTTGAATATATTATATAATTTTGAAACCAAGAATCATTTTTCTTGAATTACCTTGCAAGGTTTTTGATGATCTTCCACAAGTTTGTATTATTTTTCTGGTTCTCTATAACTTTAGTTGTCCTGTTTCCAGAGCTATACATTCCAAAAGCAGCATAGAAGAATTCATTTATTTCTATATGGATAAATATGAAGTAGTGTAACATCATGGCAGATAAGAGAACCCATCAATATCTAGATTATGAAAAATGAATTGTCATGTGGATTAAAGATTGATGAATATAACGACAACCTACAAACTGGTATGCAGAGACGTATAACATGTGTTACTCAGACATACAGGTTTTTCAAGCAATGCCCAATCGGTACAAACACAATTCCATTTTCGTTTAGTTCGATTGGCCTGATAGTATATAGATATAAAACAAGTAAGTTTAAACATCAATACCTTATTCAGTTTGGTATATGTAACTTTGATTGTAAGCAAATGGTAACTATCTATTCACTGTTGATACATCTTTCTTGCCATAACCATCACCGGGTGGAGTATCTGCAATTCAGTCTCTTTTGAACTGAAATTCACCCAAAAAGATACGATTAATAAAAAAAAGATGAGTATATGATAAGTTCTGAATATTGGCCTGAACAATCAAGAATGATTTTACAACGGGTGTTACCTGTATTGAATCCTAGAAGAATTGCGTTTTTGATGCTTTTCTCCATAATCGCACAACCTTCTTACAGGAATGTCAGAAATGACCTCACTGTCACCACCACAGTTTGGAACATACAGACACCTAAGTTGGAAGAGAGCACACAGATAAATCAATAGGCCTTGGAAAATTAGTTTCCAGAATCAAGATAATACCACAAAATTTACAAGCGATTTCTCACTTTACGTGAACAAATACTATATTCTAACATGGGACTCGAATAGATCAGACTGCAGTAGAAACAAAGCGGAAAGAAAAGCTACAGTTCGATCCGTGAAAAAGAAAATAAGCCTAACAGTGTTTGCTTACTGGAGTATATTCTTATCGTGGATCTTGTCTCCAGATGAGTAAGAAAAAACAAATTCTCAGATCCGGAGAATAGCCTTCGACGGACCTAAAACAACACACCACATGTAAATTGAAGTTTGATCACTTTTGGAGTTTTTAAAGATACTCCAAGTTATGGAGACATTATATAGTTGTTTATGATATGTAAACACAAAATAAAAGCTTACAATATACTATATAATTTGAAACCACTGAAACCAATAATTTTTTTTAATGACCTACGTACCCTGCAAACATTTTACTGTTCTTCCACAAGTTTGTTTTTTGCTTTGATTCTTGACGTTTATCTAAAATTCCATCTCTCATGTTTTCTAAGCAAGGAGCGCTTTAACTGCAAACTGAAAATTCTAAATATCAAATGCAAATGAAAAGATTCATCAATGTATATGTATACAAGAGGATCCATCAATGTATACATTAGAGATGGCCTTAAGTTTAATAAAATAACAACTTACAAGTGAACTTTTAGCAGTGAATTAGAGGTCAGCCTCTGATCGTTGTTACACAGAGATGCAAGTATTTCTAAAAACTAAGAAAGTTGATTAGATTGACTTAATTACTTATCTGAAACTTTGACTATAAATTAGTGGAGATGGACGGGTTATTCAGTTTTTGTACACCTTTCACTGCCAGGATAAGCACATCACCGAGTTAAGAAACCAAAGTACCATTTTCACCTAAAAATGTCAAATTAATCAAATGATTAGTTTTAAGGATATTTACGGGTTAAGTAGAGCATGTACTTTCATCTTGAATGCTTCATATAAAGGATTAAAGTACCTTAATAACAACACTCAATATAACTAATTAATAGGCCTTAGTCGTTCCTATGAATTCCCTGGACATGTACAACTTCGTAGTTCACATAGTCGCATACACGATGCAATCTCCTTCAAAAAATAAAAACAAAACTGAAAGACTAATCACATGGAAATGATTTAAGACACATATATGGTAATACCTCAATTAATTTGGTATAATGGCTTTAAATGTAAGAAAGCGGTTACCCTGGATAAACGATTTGATGCAATTTTCTTGCTCAACACTGGGTGAAATATCTGTAGTTCAGTCCTTCAACTGTTTTCATCTAACAGTGATTACCAAAAGATAGATGATCAATTCAGGGCATATCTATGCTTTAAGTAGAGTAGGTACTTGTCATATGTTTGACATAAATACCTAACCGCACCCCGTAGAGTATCATAAGATTAAATGGGCAAATGAGAGGTGTATGCAATCCTTATAACAAAAAAAAAAAATTCAGAAATTAAAAAGATGAGAAAGAACACATGTAGGAAATCATAAATAAATTCAGCTTGGATATGGAAACCTCAATTGCCAACAGAAATGAAGAGATAATGAAAAGGTATATTTACGATATTGATATGTATGTGGAAAAATATCTCTAGATGTTCCTCTCCAAAATTCCAATACACATGTACTTCGCAGGCCTAAATCAGTTAGACAACTACAGTTACGAAAAAATTTCAAGCTAGACTTAGGGTACCTACAACTAATTGTTTAAAAATTTCAAGCTAGAAGTGCTAGATTGGTTATGAGGCTACATCACAAACAAACAAAAAAACATGAATGGTAAGTGACGAAGTGCTTACCTTATATACTTATTTTCTTTGTGGTCGACTCAAAGCGTAGATCTTCAAGATTTGCTGGAGGATTGTAGAGTGCGCTTATCCTGTAGAGCACATGCATAAAACGAGGCATGTAAACATGCATTAAAAAAGAAGACACACATAAAAAAGAAGATGAACTTATTTCATGGTGCCAGAGGATTCACGAGGCTCTTGGTTCAGAAAAAGAATGCAAGCAAACACCTATATCTCAAACCTGAACAACGAAAACCAAAAAATAAGATTTAGATACAAACGAGATGATCTTGTATAACTCATGGTCCTTGATCGTTGTATACTGAATCTGGTTAAACCATTGTTCATAATAAACAATAGAAGGTATTGTCCATGTGGCAGTGACATTGACGCACAAAGACTTTGCCTTGATAGACGTTCAGGAGTGTCCATATGTACTATTTTCAAACAGTTAACTAGAACTATCTAAAGCAAATAGATATTTTTATGAAAGATATATTGATAAATCTAGCTACACAGTTAGTAAGTGAGCAAGTAAAACAAAAGGAAGTAAGCAATATAAGGAAGCAAAAGTCAGAGAGAAAGTAAAACATGAATCAAGGGAGCCCGCAAGGAACCAAGGTAGCAACAAAGTAAAATACCAATCAAGGAAGCAAGTAAGCAAGCAATTAAGAAAAAAAAACATGAATCAAGTAAGCAAGCAACCACGCACCCAGGAAATCAAAGAAGGAAGCAAGTAACAAAGGAAGTAAAGAAGCAATAACTTATGGAAGATAGACTGATAAATCGAGCTAGATAGTTAGTAAGTGAGCAAGTAAAGAAAAAGGAAGTAAGTAAGCAATATAAAGAAGCAAAAGTCAGAGAGAAGGTAAAATGAATCAAGGGAGCCTACAAGGAACCAAGGTAGCAACAAAATAAAATATGAATCAAGGAAGCAAGTAAGGAAGCACACAACTAAGCAAGCAATCCAAGAAGGAAGTAACCAAGGTAGCAACAAAATAAAACACGCATTATGGAAGCACGCAATCAAAGAAGCAAGCAACCACACACCCTAAATCAAATAAGGAAGTAAACAAAAAAAATCAAGAAAACAAGTAAAGAAGCAAGAAATCAAGAAACCAAGCAACCCACGAAGTAATGATCAAAGCATAATATAAAGAAGCATGCAAGTAAATATGAACGTAGTAAGCAAGTTTTTTTACGCAAGTATGTATGTGTGAATGCATGTGTGTTTGTATGTATGTATGTATATATGTATGTATGTATGCATGTATGTATGTATGTGTGTGTGCATGTATGTATGCATGTATGTGTTTGCATTATTTAAGTGATTGGAAAGAACCCATAGAGAAGTCACTGGTTTCTCTAATACGCCACATAAAGCTATGAAATCTGTTGATCTGTAAGAAAATAGACAACATCAAACGCTAAAAGCAAAAAAAATAAAAATCAAAAGACCAAGCAGAAGAAAAAGATTGAAGAGAACATACCTGGAGAAAGACAAGACTGTTCAACGGAGAAAGAAAGACCCAAACCACGCCCTTGAAAAGAAAGCATTAGACATCAAAAAAATTAACTCAAACAGGTTTATAAAATTGAATGAGTAAGCAAAAAACAAACTTGGAAGATCAAATTCTGGTTATATGCATAAAAAGGCCAACTCTTGAAACATTTGTTCACTTATCTGACTTACGAGCTGGCACATACTTATGAAACAAAACGTAATGTGCAGACAGCAAACTATACATACATGCAAAGAGGAAGTTATCAACACATGTGTCGAAAGCATACCTTAATTCAGAACAATAAAATGAAACTTTGAGATTGCCACAGAATCAGGCTTGACTGCGTCAGTGCATCACTTAAAAGGTTTGAAATGTCCAATAGGTGCCTTGTAAAGTTTTCATCACAATAACCATCAGAAAATTTCGAAACAAATGCATAACGAAGAAACTTACAACAACAACAAAATCGAAAGGAAATGACTTGCCTGCAAATTCAAGTGTCAGTGACAAAAATGACACTACAGTTTTGGGAGGGAGATTTGCTGAAAAATGGACTGCTCTTTGATGCTTTTAATAGACAATACAGTTTGCTGAAAGGCAAGAAAAAATACTATATGTTCAAAGATAGCTCGCAAAGTCCTATTCTCCCATTGGAACCTCCGAGAAACTATGCAAAACGAAACTAACAGCTGACAAAGATAACAGAGGAGAAGAAATGAATCGCTTACTATGATGAAATTTGACAAATTTTGGCAGGATTCCGATAGTTTCACACTGTGTACTTCTTCGAAATGATTTCAAGAAGCTTCATGATAACCTTAAAGTGAAGAGCAGCCTCTTTCTTGGAAGTGGGATAGCAATCCACAAAAATGTCGACTCCATCAGCGTGAAGTCCACTAGAACCATCCCAAAAAGAAAACCATTTCATAAATATCAAGTGAGATATACAGATTTTGAAAAAAAAAAAAACATAGTTAATAATTTATGTACCTGTGATTTGTATCAACGAGCACAACATCGTTCCTCTCAAGGAGGGCTCTAGCAATTCCACAGAACGACCGATTTTTCTGAAGCCTTAAGTCATTTAAAGAAGATCAGATTCTTACATAAACGAAAGGGTGCTCACCATTGATTCCGATCTTAATCGGCTTCTTCTTCTCCGCTACAAAAACAGAGACGAAGAGGAATCAAAAACACGAAGGTTAGCGGCGATGAACAAAATATTCCCGAAAGAAAATCATATTGACAATTTATTCGTGAAAAAAACTTGAAATTATACCCCCAACGATGATGTTACTTTCTTCCTTCATCTGAATTTAAACTGTTGGAAGCGAATCAAAGAAATTTAATCAAAGCCCAGGTTCGCATTACAATTCGGTATCTAAATTTCGATCTACATCTGAATTCAAACAACTTAATTTCGGAACTAGGGTTTACGTAAGTATGATCCCATGACTCGTATCCCAATTGCGTTTAATTACTATCACTGGGAAATTTTGTTTTTCCAAGAAATTCAAAACCTAATACAATTATAACCCAACAAAAACACAAGATCAAGCGAACAAAGGAAGGGCGATTCAATTATAGACAAAAGCTCCGACGAAGACGAACACACAAAGAAACAAAATACGAAATAGATCGGAGAGAAAAACAAAATCAAAATCACGAAAAGAAACATACTCCAAGAAGAAAATTTGAATTCAAAAGTTTACCACGAAGGGACTCAGAGGAGAGGATGCTCCCTTCTCTTCAAGCGGCTTACTTTTCGTTTTTCTTTCCCGTTGGATTTACAAAATGATGATGATTTTCCGTTAACTCTGATTTTATAAAATTCAAATTTGTAAAAGAAGTGACAAAGCCCGAAACAAAAAAAGGCCTATTTAAAGTATAAGATTCAAATTTAAGCTTTGATGCACACGTGTCACTCAGAACAACAGTTTTAAACAAATGGACCGTTTGACAAAAGGTAACCGAAATTTCAAAAAACCGGTTTAGAAAAACGTTATAATTTTACAAAATGTGTTTGTTTTCTTGGGTCGGTTTGGAATCGGCTTACTCAGTTGTAATTATCAACTTCGTTTTTATTCTCTGATTGCTACTTAATATTCGATGAATTTTCTAAAGTTCAGTGTGTCTGAATATCTCAGGAGGAAGTGAACAATGTGTTGACCGGGTTGTCTTCTTCGGCTGAAGATGGTTCTGTAGACATTTTCATGGAATCCCACCACCATTGAAGCAAAGACACGATAGAGTATTTGTCAGTGCTTGACTTGTGACACTTAACGTTTATGATCGACGTTGTTCTAATGAACAACATGCCCCATATGCTATATAATAGTCAACGAAACGAAATCACCCGACAAGTTTTTTGAGATACATGTGAGATATTTATTGTTTTATCATCGTCACGTTTCGTCAACTATAATCTTAATTTATGATCTCATAATTTCAGACATGCAGCTGAATAATATATTTGGTCGTGACATGGGGATCACTCCTTTCTTGGAAACTTCTTGCAAATAATTAAAATTATGAATGGCCTAGAACACTTTAATTTTTGCAAGTTGAAATAAAAGCTAGCTGTCGTATTGAATCTTATTGTGAATTGACAATGTCACTAAACCCAAAAACAAAAACAAAAAAGGGAAAGATCAAAGAGAATCAAGATTACCTATAAGAAGCTTCATCAATCATCAATGGCGCCTAATCCTGTTCCCCCGAGATTCTTGACGCAAACCAATGCCTTGTTCAGAAAAAACTTAACCTTTCAGGTTTGTCGAAAGAACATGTTATCTATTATATACACATAACTTGAAACTAATAAATCCATTGGTGTATAGAAACGGAACATATGGAGCAATGTTCGGCTCATCGTGATCCCATTGTACCTCTGCGTGGTTCTAGTGGGCATTCAAGCTCTGTTCGATACACAGGTCAATAACTCTCCTGATAATCGATGTGGTTGTCAATGCATTGACGACAAATGCGAAAGAAAGAGTTGCGGTTTAGAATATTCATCTCCAAACCAAGCCATCTTCTGTGCCTTCCCAAATCCTCCACTATTGCCTCCATTGTTACATGTTCCGCCTTCTATTGCTAGTGACTCGTGCAGACGAAACGGATCTTGTCATGTAACTATACTTGTTACAGGAAATAACCATTCCCTTGGAGCAAGTATGTATATATACTCCTTTTAATTTCAAACCTTTTCTTATAATTCTTCCCATATAATATGGTTTGTTTCCTCTCTAATTAGTCTTCAATTTTTAGCTTTATCTAGGAATCTGCTGCCTACTTCTTTCGCGTTTAACTCATCTGACATTTTCTTGCGTAATCTCGCCTATAATGCTTTGGCAAGTTCTGAATTCTAGACGTTGTCCCCATTAACAACTCTTATCTTAGCTTTTTTTCTAGCTTAGGGACTTATCATGAATATATATATATATATATGCAGGGTACAACATCAGAGGCAGTAAACACTAATTATCTTGATCCAGGGATTCAATCAGATCTTCCCATATTCAACATCCAACCTCGTGCTCTCCACCCACTACATTCTCATTCTCATTTCAACAATCACCTCTCGAGTTTCATAAAGGTAAGTTTAAAAGAATATCTCTTACCACAACGATATAGTGAAACATAAGGTTTTAGAGTCTAAAAGATTTAAAACTAATGTGACTGCATTTTCTTTTCCAAGTTAACTAGCTAAAGTGAATGTTTCTTGCATCCTCACTCAAAGCTAGCTCATGAGAAAACATTCTTGCATCTGATTAACTTAATGGCTAATGTGTCAAAGCAGAGGTGAGGTGTGTTCCAGGTTTGAGTCTCTGGCGAAATAGCTCCATGGAGGTCAACGACGAGATCTTCAAGGGCTATCGGCAAGGAAACCACGGGGATATCACCAATGAGGTCGTTGCAGGTTATTGCACTTCTCTATAATGTTTTTGTGTGTTTACCTGCACTTTTCTTACTGTTTTATTTGTTGCATTAATTAGCATACGATCTCTTGGACACCGATATGAACAACTTCAATGTGACCATCTTGTATAACTCCACATACACGATTGATATACAAGATAGGCGTGCCAAGTTTGTCCGAGTTCCTCGCTCAGTCAATTTGGTATAAGAAGCTACGTGACGTATTCAAGACGTTAATCATTTCTCTTATATCAAACTCGTTCTTTACATTCTCCAAAACAAAATTGCAGGTTTCGAATGCTTATCTTCAGCATTTGCAAGGGCCAGGGACAAAGATGTTATTCGATTTTGTGAAAGAAATGCCTAAACAAGAAACTAGGCTTCACCTGGACGTGGCTTCTCTCATTGGCCCCATTTTCTTCACTTGGGCTATTCTTCTTCTATTCCCTGTAAGTTTGTTTTCAATAGACTTACAAGTAATTATTCATCTCAATATATGATCAATAGCCTTTATGATCAATAGCCTTGTTAGGATTTCTTACTAGCGTAGATGTTGAATGTGGTTACGATTGCTTTTGAAATCAAGACATAACCAAGAATAAAGCATCGTGACATCCTACATCTAGCTGAAAACATCCTAGGCATCCACTAGAATCACGTTCTTGAAGCGTACAAATGGATCTTAGTCATTACTCTGTCTCAAGAAACACTAACCTTCTGTTTCATTCCACAACTTCTCCTTTTTTCCTTTTAACTGAAATCTTCTCATTGGCTTATACACTGAAAAGAAAACAAGATTGTGATTTGTGAAAGCACAAATTAATTAGCATGTCATGGGATTTCAATAATTACATGAATGTGTATGCAGGTGATAGTGAACTCATTGGTCTATGAAAAGCAACAGCGTCTAAGAATCATAATGAAAATGCATGGTTTAGGAGATGGTCCGTATTGGATGATTTCCTATGCATATTTTCTCGCCATATCAACATTATACATTATAAGCTTAATGATAGTTGGGTCAGCAATAGGTATTTATATCTTTGCCATATCTTATGTTACTATTTTCTTGCATAAAAAGCACAATTTTTAGAGCTATATAGTTTCTTGCAGGACTGAAGTTCTTTCGGCTCAATGACTACACCATCCAATTCATTTTCTATTTTCTTTACATAAATCTGCAAATATCTATTGCCTTTCTAATTTCCTCAGTATTTTCAAAAGTTGAGACAGCATCAGGTACCAAAGTCTAACTTTTTAAAATTTGCGCGGGAATAGGTTGGTTGGTTGGTTGTTAAAAGAAACATTTTCTGTTTTATTGTCAAAATTGTAGTTGTTGCTTACATACACATCTTTGGATCTGGTCTCTTGGGCGCATTTCTCTTCCAGTTTCTGATAGAAGATTTATCGTTTCCCAGTAAGCTATCAAAAACAACTTAAAGAACACATATTCTCAAAACTGATCACATACTAATGCTAATATAATCATTACATTTTCTAGAAAGCTGGATTTTTGTCATGGAGTTGTATCCAGGCTTCTCTTTATACCGTGGGTTGTATGAGCTCTCTATATACGCGTTTCATAGGAATGTGAATGGGAGTGCTGGGATGAAGTGGAAACATTTCAGTACTGATAGTGCAATGGGTGAAGTTTTCTACATCATTATCGTTGAGTGGTTTCTTGCACTCGTTGCATCATACTATATTGATCGGTTCTCTTTATCCGCGAATGGCCCTTTTTCATTCTTGAGAAATCCTTTCAAGAAATCTCTTTCTCCACAAAAGTCTAGATTCCAAAAGCAGAACTCTACAGTGACGGTAGAAATGGAGAAAGTAGATGTCACTCAAGAGGTAATGACAACAATTTGCTTGCATGTTCTTTGCATTTTTTTTTGTAACTAGTTTGATCAATGAATATTTATTCAAATCAGAGAGAGAAAGTTGAGCAATGGATGTTTGAGCCGAGCATAGACCATGCAATTGTATGTGACAACTTGAAGAAAGTGTATCCAGGTAGAGATGGGAACCAACCAAAAATAGCCGTTCGCGGGTTGTCTCTTGCAGTGGCTTCAAGAGAATGCTTTGGCATGTTAGGGCCAAATGGTGCTGGAAAGACCTCTTTCATCAACACGGCTAGTACCTGAACGTACCATCTGATTTAAAAACTATGATCTAGCATAATTAATCAGAAGTTGTATTGTGCTTTTCTTTCAGATGACTGGACTTGTGAAACCAACCTCAGGGTCAGCGTTTGTTCACGGTTTGGATATATGCAAGGATATGGACAAAGTATACACTAGCATGGGTGTATGCCCACAACACGAGTAATTATTCAAATTCTTGAAGACATTTTAGTTTGTTAAAACTATACAGAGCATTGTTAAATTTAATGGTTTATTGTCAAATAGGTTGTTTTAGAACTGATCTCAGTTTTAATGTGTAATAGTTTGCTCTGGGAGACACTGACCGGGAGAGAACATCTGCTATTTTATGGAAGACTTAAGAATCTGAAAGGCTCTGATCTTAATAAAGTATGTATGTTATATCAGTTTGTCTTCCCTTCTGTGTAAACTTTAGAAGTATCAAATTATAAGGATGATCCATTTTATGCATATTAGGCTGTAGAGGAATCTCTCAAGAACGTCAACCTTCTCAATGGAGGAGTAGCTGATAAACCTGCTGGGAAATACAGCGGAGGTATGAAAAGACGGCTAAGTGTAGCCATTTCACTAATCGGGAGTCCTAAGGTATGCATTATGGTTTCGAAAATAGTAACTTGCTATAGAAGTTAGTTAAAGTTTCTCACACTCTGACAAAGCCATTCTTTCATTTGTTTTTTTTTTGGGGTAAATAGGTTGTATATATGGATGAGCCAAGCACGGGGCTTGATCCAGCTTCAAGAATGAACCTATGGACTGTCATCAAACGGGCAAAAGCACACACTGCGATAATCCTCACTACTCACTCAATGGAAGAGGCAGAGTTTCTCTGTGACCGATTAGGGATTTTCGTAGATGGGAGGTTACAATGCATAGGGAACCCAAAAGAGCTAAAGGGAAGATATGGTGGATCCTATGTGTTTACTATGACAACAGCATTAGAGAATGAGAAAGATGTGGAGATGTTGGTTCAAGATTTTTCTTCAAACGCCAAAAAGATATATCACATATCAGGGACACAGAAATTTGAAATCCCAAAAGAGGAAGTTCGGATCTCAGAAATGTTCAAGGCGGTGGAGAAGGCCAAGAGCAGTTTCAGGGTGTTTGCTTGGGGACTTGCGGATACAACTCTTGAAGATGTCTTCATCAAGGTAGCAAGAGGTGATCAGGATTTTAATGTATATTCTTGAATCTTCTTAAGATTATCTTCTTCTTCTTCTTCTTCTTTTGTCTCGTGGGTACTAATTTGGTCATGTAGATGTTTGGAAATACTCATTAGTCATGTATATTACTGAGAGTAGGCTGCAAGACCGTGAGAAAGGGAAAAATTACCAAGTCTCAATCTCATATTTCCCAAACCCATTTTGAAGGCAGCTCTGGAGTTGTGGGGAAAATGCTGGTCCATGATGATAACATAGATACCATAGTCTCTTGTTCAAATATATACCCTTACTTTTCAAATATATAACAATAAATTTGTAAAAGTTACTCAAATTTCATTTCCCTTTAATCTCCTTAAATTTAAGATATATATATATATACTCTCAAATCATTAATCCAATGTACACTCAAAAGGAAAAAAACTTACAAATTAAAGTAAATACATTGTCATAATTCATGAACTAATCCAACCGAAGCCAAATCAGACTACTTTTAATATCTTACTAATTTAATGTACCAAACAAAATATTCTCAAGTCAATTTAATTTAATAGTAAAATAGCATAATAAATTAATAAAATTAATAAAATGGTTAAACTAAAACTGAAAAAAATCAAAATGTTAGAAAGCTACATATAACCATTTAACCTCATTGATGATTTAATCAAGACTTTTTGTATTAACTAGGTGGCTTGCCCGCACACCCTGTGCGGGCTGTAATATATTACAAAAAATTCAAGATAATCATAAAATACATATTGATAATTTGTCATAATAATATATCTAAACAATAGGGATATATTAAAAATTATTGCATAATTAGAATTAAAAACAACATAAATATATTATAAAATTTCTTTTATAATTTAAAATTATCGTATAACAAAAGCTAAAATAAAAACATACTAAAACTAAAAATTAGACCTTCTCTTCAATAGTTTTCAGTTTCTAACTCGACATCTATTCTTGAACGCTTCCTTGGTACTCTGAAAAATATTTTAAAACAACTACTCAAAAATACAATCAAGAGATGAAACTCAAAGTCAATCAATAAACTTACATGAATATGAATTTGGTTACTTCTGTGAAGTGAGGGTTCACCTTGATCACAGTAGGATACGTAGAAAATATAACAACTTTTCCTAAATATAGATAACCGAAAGTCGTAAAACAAATTGTTAACAAAAAAAAAACAAATCTTGCAAACCTTCATAGACATTAACAATTGCCATCTTGCAACAAAAACTAATGTATCATCGGCACAATTAAGCCAATCAGCATGAAACTTGCGAGCGTCGCTGTTAAACATCTTGCATTTTATACAAACGTTACTACATAAACGAAAGAATGTATATCAAATGAAAATAATAAAACTCTATGAAACAAATCATTAGTTACAACAATAGACCTTAGATTACTCAGTTCGAATGCGAGCATTGCATATTCACCAAAACTCTTATCAACACAGTGTTTGGTAGGAATTTCTAACTCTCCAACATTGACAACTTCTCCAATCAAATCTAAAAATATTCAAAACTGAAATACTCCATATTTAAAATAAATTAAATCCATGTCAAAATTTACAGCAAACGAACACATAGATAGTAAATTAACATATATATCTAAAAATTTGTAAATTTCACTAATTCTTAATACATCAGATTTCGGTAGGAAGCTTGTTGAGAACCTGCTCAAAATCTAAAAATTTAAAGAAATTCCATTCACACGGATAATCTTGTCTATCAACATCGCGCTTACGATGAGCAAGTGAATACAATGAGGTATAATTTTAAAAGGGTTTAACCTCATGAAATCATCAATACTTTTTGTATTAATTAATAAGATTATACTTATAAAAAAAAATCGTTTTCTTTATCAGATCATCAATTGCTTCCTGTCCAAGGAACTACCACACAGGAAATTTTCGTTTGAATTTGAACAAATTCATTTATTATTATTTTAAACGGTCAAAATATCATAGTCAACCAAATTTACCTGATGCTTACGAGTTACGTGAGATATTAAAATCGACTAGTTTAATTTTTACGTTCACACGTGATTACGTCTGAGATGACGACATCAATCATATAAAAATATCATATTCAAACTTCTTATTCTATAAAAACCAATTGAAACTCTCCCTCTTCCACTAGTTGAAGAATCTTATTAGTCGTGGGATCACTCATTCGTAGCTTCGTGCAGAATTTACATTGAATATTTCTCGATGGTCGCTTTCTTGATTTCGTTGAAATTCACATTTTATATTATTCTCGTTTGACGAAAAGAAAAATTCCAAAAATTAATTATAATATATTTGAGCATAAATAACTGGAAATAAATGATTGGACGTACTCTACTAAAATATAAAGCGTGTGCGTAAGGGTATCAATGTAATTTCACTCTCGTATCTGTTCTTCGTTCTTCATCTCTCCGCCCACTATATGAATATATGACCAAAAAGACGGCTGTTTGATATTTTTAACAGTTGAAAATTAGGATTCAGATTGATTAACCCAAAACAAAAACCTAAAAATTAAAAATTAACTAATCAGCGAGGAAGAGTAAAATAGAAGAAACAGAGAAGAAGAAGAAGAAGATTACCGTTTCTTCTTCATCAATGGCGGATTCAGGTCCTGCCAGTTTCTCGACGCGAGCCAATGCCTTGCTTAGGAAAAACTTAACCTATCAGGTATATGCGTTTTCGTTTCGTGTTCGTACGTAGAAACCTCTAATCTGAGAGAATCGTTATTCATAGATCTTATCGCTGTTTTAGGGAAATCAAATTAGTGGCTGATTTAATCGAATTTCGGATATAAATTACAGATATTAATTGCGAGAATCCAATTGTGAATTCAAATAAACTCTCTGCTATATGAATTTGTTAGTACATCTGTAGCTCTAATTCGCCTGTGTATGTATGTATGTGTGTGATGCAGAAACGGACTCTAGGGAGCAATGTTCGGATCATCATGATCCCTTTCTTGCTCTGCATTTTTCTTCTTCTCCTTCAAGTCGTGTTCGATAAATTTGTTAATAACTCTGTTGACAATCGATGTGGTTGTGAATGCATTGACACTAATGGAGATGGCAACTGCGAAGAGACTTGCGGTATACAACATTCGTCTCCGACTCAGGCATTCTTTTGCTCCATCCCAAGTCCTCCCCGATGGCCTCCATTGTTACAGGTCCCGCCTCCTGAAAGACGTGCTGTTCGTTCCAGTTTCCTCTCCAACGATGAACTACCTGATGAATCTTGCAGAAGAGCAGGATCTTGTCCTGTGACCATACTTTTTACTGGGAATAACCGTTCCCTTGGAGCAAGTATGTACTACTGCATCTTTGTCTTCTTCTTTGGGTGTGGTCTATATTGTTTCTCTCTGGAACTTAATCTTCGTGTTTTCTTTAGGCTTATCTGGGAATCTGCTAACTAGTTCTCTAACGGCGAACTCCTCTGATATCTTGCAAGATTTAGCCAATAGTGTCTTGGTAAGAGTTCTCTGGTCGAATCTTGTTTGTTTCCACTGTGAAGTGCGTACATCTTAGCTTATTGTGAGCTCGTTTTATCAGGGTACAGAAACAGAGGCAGATTTCACCAACTTTCTTGATCCAGGGATTGCCTCAAATCTTCCCATCTACAATATCCGACCACGCTGCATTTCAAACGCTCCGTTGCCATTCTCATTCGGACAACCGCCTCTCGAGTTTCAGAAAGGTATTAAGTTTCCGATCATATAGATGTTACTGAATGTTTTAGATACTTCGGCAGTTCTAAGGAGGAATTGTATCAGTTTTCGCCTGTATGCATATCCAAACTTTTTTAAACATAATAGTTTTAGATATTCAAAGTTACCTTCTGAGGAGACGTTGTTGCAGTCGATTAACTTAATGATTGTGTCAAAACCAGAATTGAGTTGTGTCCAAGGATTGAATCTCTGGCGAAATAACTCCGCGGAGGTCAATGATGATATATTCAAGGGTTATCAGAAAGGAAATCCCGAGGGGAAAATAAATGAGATTGCTGCAGGTTGTTCTGACTTCTCAGTCATTTATCTATAATACAGCTTAATATTCACATGACAGTTCTGACTCCCTCATGTCTGCGTTCTTGTTGCCTTAGCATACGATCTTTTGAACACGGACAGGAACAACTTCAATGTGCACATCTTGTATAATTCAACAAACAAGGGAGGTTCACGAAATAGGCTTGTAAAGTTGCTCCGTGTTCCCCGCTCTGTCAATTTGGTAAGAAAATAACGATGTACTCAAAGACGTATTCATCACTGTATCTTCAGTATGTTCTCTTCCATGTGAGACCCTGTTCATGCTTACACTTTGCCAAACTTGCAGGTGTCAAATGCTTACCTTCAGTTTCTGCAAGGACCGGGAACTAGAATGTTGTTCGAATATGTCAAAGAAATGCCTAAACCAGAAACTACACTTCGTCTAGACATCGCGTCTCTAATTGGCCCCCTTTTCTTCACATGGGTTATTCTTCTTTTGTTCCCTGTAAGTTTGCTTTTTTATAGACTACATACTTTAGGCTTTCTTCCACAAATATTCATACTTTAGAGCCATATGTGTGCAGGTGATCTTGTCGTCACTGGTGTATGAGAAGCAGCAGCGTCTAAGAATCATAATGAAAATGCATGGGCTAGGAGATGGTCCGTATTGGATGATTTCTTACGCCTATTATCTTACCATATCCATTTTCTACTTTATATGCCTGATGATATTTGGGTCAGCAATAGGTGAAGCCTCGCTGTTCTTACATTATGCTGTTTCAATATAGAAAATTTTCCACTCTCCAAGGCTTATTATAGTTGCTGGTTCCTTTACAGGACTCAAGTTCTTTCGGCTTAATGATTACAGTCTCCAGTTCGCTTTCTATTTTCTCTATGTAAATCTGCAAATCTCCCTTGTCTTTCTAGTTTCTTCAGTATTTTCAAAGGTCAAGACATCAACAGGTACGAAAATAGCAACTCCTGAATTTGTTCGAGGATATGTTGGGGCTTCAAGGAATTAATGGAATTCCTCTTATGTCTAAATTGTAGTTGTTGCTTACATATACGTGTTTGGATCTGGACTTTTGGGCTTGTTTCTATTCCAGTTTCTGATTCAAGATTCATCATTTCCTAGTAAGTTTTTAAGATTAACTTGAAGAACAATATTTATTACACTCGCTTATGTGTTAATTCTCATAACTGACAACGATTGCAAATCAATTGTACTTTTCCAGAAGGCTGGATTATTGTCATGGAGTTGTATCCTGGCTTCTCCTTATACCGTGGGCTCTATGAATTCTCACAATTTGCTTTCCGGGGAAACTTGAGAGGGGTAGATGGGATGAAGTGGAGAGATTTCGGTGATAGTGCAATGGATGAAGTTTTCTCCATCATTATCGTTGAGTGGTTTCTTGCACTCATTGCAGCATACTATATCGATAAGGTTTCTTCATCCGGAAAAAACCTGCTGTTCTTCTTGAGAAACCCTTTCAAAAAATCCCCTTCTCTGCGAAGGCCTAGTCTGCAGAGGCAAGGCTCCAAAGTCTCCGTTGAAATGGAAAAACCAGATGTCACTCAGGAGGTATGACAAAAGTCTTCACAATTGCTTTCCATCTTCTTGATAATTCTGCCTTTGATAACTAAATTGTTCAAATCAGAGAGGAAAAGTCGAGAAGTTGATGCTTGAGCCGAGCACAAGCCATGCGATTGTTTGTGACGACCTGAAGAAAGTGTATCCAGGTAGAGATGGAAACCCGCCAAAAATGGCAGTTCGAGGGTTATCTCTCGCTGTGCCTTCAGGAGAATGCTTCGGCATGTTAGGTCCCAATGGTGCTGGCAAAACCTCCTTCATCAATATGGTCAGTTTCCCAAATGGACAAAATCTTTTGTGATATTAATTGTGCTTAGCTTCTAATATCATTCCTGATCAACAAACTCTATCTTGTAGCCTTAGTATTGTGTTTCAGATTATAATCTTGCAGCCTTATTTAATATATACTGTATTTTTCCTCCAGATGACTGGGCTCCTGAAACCAACATCAGGGACAGGGCTTGTTCAAGGTTTGGATATATGCAGTGATATGGACAGAGTATACACCAGCATGGGCGTATGCCCGCAGCACGAGTAATTAAAAACTCTTGAAAACTCGTCATTTTGTTCTTCTTCAAGAAAGAACACATAAGCAGTTTCTCTAAGTTGTTTTTATCATTCTCTAATTGTTTGCAATAATATATCAGTTTGCTCTGGGAGACGCTGACTGGAAGAGAACATCTGCTGTTTTACGGGAGACTTAAGAATCTCAAAGGCTCTGATCTCACCCACGTATGTTTTCAAGCTTACTTCCAAAATGCAATCAGAAATGTCAAGTTTCATGGATGATCAATCTAATCTCACATCGTTATTTACCTTGCATTAGGCTGTGGAAGAGTCTCTGAAGAGTGTGAACCTTTTCCACGGAGGAGTTGCAGACAAACGTGCTGGTAAATACAGTGGAGGTATGAAAAGGCGGCTGAGCGTAGCCATTTCACTTATCGGAAACCCTAAGGTACACCCAAATTTCTCTGAGAATCTCTTGTTATCTTGAGCTTAACAGACTCTATTCTCATTTTATTTATTTTACCTTTGAAGGTGGTTTATATGGATGAGCCAAGCACAGGACTTGATCCAGCCTCAAGAAAGAATCTATGGACTGTCATCAAGCGTGCAAAGCAAAACACTGCCATAATCCTCACAACCCACTCAATGGAAGAAGCAGAGTTTCTCTGTGACCGGTTAGGGATTTTCGTAGACGGAAGCTTGCAATGCATAGGGAACCCGAAAGAGCTCAAGGGAAGGTACGGTGGATCTTATGTGTTTACGATGACAACCTCATCGGAACACGAGCGGAACGTGGAGAAGCTGATTCAAGATGTCTCCCCAAACGCCAAGAAGATATATCAGATCGCTGGGACTCAGAAGTTTGAGCTCCCAAAGGAGGAGGTTCGGATCTCAGAGGTGTTTCAGGCGGTGGAGAAGGCCAAGAGCAACTTTACGGTGTTCGCTTGGGGACTCGCGGACACAACTCTTGAAGATGTCTTCATCAAGGTTGCTAGAACCGGTCAAGCCTTTAATGTCTTCTCTTGATCTTCTTAGATTGAAGACTCATATATATACGTCCAACGTCAATATTTATTTTTGCATGTTAAATTGCTACTACACGATTACAAGGTTTCATGTAAATTACTCGAAATATATATATTACAATTTTGTGAATCACAGTGAGATTTCACAACCAGTGGTCTTACCTGTTGGTTAATAAGGTCAGTGATCAATTTCTATATACATTTCACCAACTTTGTGATTAGTTTCAGTACCTAAGGAAAATATGAGGTTTTCACTTGTTGCCACGAACCCAATATTTTTTTATTGTTATTATATGCATATTTGTATAGGTTTTGGTAAAGAGTTACATTTCTTGGGTGGGTGATGCAAGCAAGACTATTACTTGACATACACGAAAAAACTTACAAGAAAATGCAGTGCCATTGCCCAATACCTGTATGCCACTTCATTAACGTGCACAGTTAATAATTTTTTTTATAATCTCTTATTTCCTGATAATCACAAGCTTCTATAATTGTATGCCCTTCTTGGTGTTATATATATCACAAGCTTCTATAATTGTATGCCCTTCTTGGTATTATATATACATCTAAGAAAATTTTAGAGATGCCAGAAATCGTTTTTATCAAAGATTCTTTTACATTCTCTAATGATGGATTCGAGTCCTGCAAGTTTCTTGACACAGGCCAACGCTTTACTCAGGAAGAATTTAGTTTACCAGGTTTCAAACTTTCTCAGAGATGTAATTTAAAACGGCTAAAACAGAGTAACAACATTTTAAATTGAGGATTTGTTGCCTTTTGTTCTTTTGATGCAGAAACGGAACATATGGAGCAATGTACGTCTCGTCACGATCCCTTTCTTCCTATGTCTACTTCTCCTTGTTGTTCAGATGCTCTTCAACACTCAATTCAACAAGGACCATGGTCGATGTGGCTGCTTAAATGAGAAAACTTGCGGCTTAAGGTATTCTACTTCAGATCAAGCAGCGTTCTGCGCCATTCCAAATCCACCGCAATGGTCTCCATTACTTCAAATCCCGGCTCCTCAATACCGAGCCGCGACCACCTCGTACCGGGGCCATTCTTCCCCTGTGACCTTTCTCTTCACCGGGAATAACCAGTCGCTCGGAAAAAGTATAAACCCTATCGATCTACTTCTTTTAAGAAATGAGATATTTCTAACTTGTTTCTCTTTTATGTTCAATAAACTGTTTGATTTTCCAGTTCTAATGCGGAGTAAGTATAGCAGTTCATCTGAGTTTGATGGAGATTTAGCCAATTATGTCTTGGTAAGTTCTTGAATCTATTTTTTTGTGTGTGCTAGCTTCATTTTTGATCCTCTAACTTTATAATAGTATATATGCAGGGCTCATCATCTTTGACTGCATACACCAATTATATGGACTCTGCTTTCATATCTGATCTCCCCATCTACAACATCCAACATGAATGCCAACAAAACACTTCTTCCTCAATCTTAATTCACCAATCACCTCTTGCTTTCCCCAAGGGTATAAACCAAATTTCTCAAATTTTATAATAATTAAAATCTTGATGAATCCAAGAATGCATTATAAAAACAGAGGATTTCTCTGTCTTGTGTGTGTTTTCTTGAGTCTAGAGATAAACTGTGTCCAAGGACTTAATCTGTGGCGGAATAGTTCTTGCGATGTGAACAACGAGCTATTCAAGGGTTATCGAAAAGGAAATCCAGACAAGAAGATCAACGAGTATTCTGCAGGTTTTCATCATCATCATCTCATCTCAAGAAGACACTTCTTTAAATAGTGTTGTGTGTCTTAAATTTCTACTTTATAGCATTTGATTTTCAGAACACAAATAAGAACAGTCTCAATGTTAGTGTTTGGTATAACTCCACCTACAAGAACGACACAGTGATTCGGCCTATGGCTCTGATTCGAGTCCCCCGCTTAGTCAATCTGGTGCATGTCTACTCAAATCATCAAATATAAGACTCAAACATTACAACACCACATCTTGAGTTCATATTTGCCTTTTGTCTGTAATTTTTCAGGCATCTAATGCATATCTTGAGTTCCTAAAAGGTTCTGAGACAAAGATACTTTTTGAATATATCAAGGAAATGCCTAAACCAGAGACTAAACTGAGCCTGGACATCGCATCTCTAATAGGCCCGCTCTTCTTCACATGGGTCATTCTGTTGTTATTCCCTGTAAGGATCTTTAGATTTGTATCAATGAACAAGTTTCAAACATTCATCATATTGAATTTTCATTCGACTGAATCACATTTCAGGTAATCTTAACAACATTGGTCTATGAGAAACAACACAGGTTAAGAATCATGATGAAAATGCATGGACTTGGTGATGCTCCTTACTGGATAGTTTCATACACATATTTTCTTCTCATATCGATTCTTTACATGTTGTGCTTCGCCATGTTTGGATCAGCCATCGGTAACTACAACAGCACTATATGTTAACCCTAATCTTTCAATGTTTTTTTTTTTTTTTTTATCATGAGTTCTTATGTTTTTACTTCCCTGCAGGGTTAAACTTCTTCAGGCTTAATGACTATAGTATCCAAGTTGTGTTCTTCCTGGTTAGCATAAATCTTCAAATAGCAGTCGCCTTTTTAGCATCTTCAATGTTTTCAGATGTAAAAACTGCTACAGGTATAGTATCATCTCGTTTTTTAATTCAGGATTCGTAATTTCGTATCACAAATTCACAACTGTTACATTTTCACTTGAAATTTATTCAGTTATAGCATACATATATGTCTTTGGAACTGGGCTCCTAGGAATCTTTCTTTTCCAATTCTTCTTAGAAGATCCTCTCTTCCCAAGTAAGATCTTAAACATTTTTGCTAATCCAATCAAATAAGGTTCATTATCTTAATTCATGTGGTTTTCTCTAGAAGGATGGATCATTGCAATGGAGCTCTATCCTGGATTTTCCCTGTACCGAGGGCTATATGAGTTATCACAATCTGCGTTTGCAGGAGATTACCGTGGGGTTGATGGAATGAGATGGAGAGATTTTGGAAATGGAATGAAAGAAGTGACTTGTATCATGCTCATTGAGTGGCTGCTACTTCTTGTTTCAGCATATTACATTGATCAAATCACTTACTCCAGGAAACATCCATTGTTCTTCTTCCTGAAAACCCCTTCAAACAAGAAACAATATCACGAATCCTCTCATAACCAAACTTCCAAAGTTGTCGTCGAAATGGAGAAACCGGATGTGTGTCAAGAGGTAAAGAGAGACAAGATCAAGATCAGGTTTCAATATTGACAAGGTTGAGTAAGATTTATTTGTATTCTTTTTGTTTTGGTGTCAGAGGGAGAAAGTAGAGCAGTATCTACTTGAATCAGCTGGAAACTGCGCGGTTTTATGTAATAACCTAAAGAAAGTGTACTCGGGTAAGGATGGGAATCCTCAGAAACTCGCGGTAAGAGGCTTATCTCTTGCTTTACCTCATGGAGAATGCTTTGGCATGCTTGGTCCTAATGGAGCTGGCAAAACGTCTTTCATCAACATGGTCTGTTTCAATATTATAAGATCTATTGATCCTTTTTTCTAATAAACTCCTCTTCTGGTTAACCACTTTGGGCATTCTCATTTTCTATGTAGATGACAGGAATCATTAAACCATCTTCTGGCACAGCTTTAGTTCAAGGTCTTGACATATTAACCGATATGGACCGGATATACACAACAATTGGAGTCTGTCCACAACACGAGTAATCATTATTCTATATAAAAAAATAATCTCTCGATCTCTGTTTGTTTCTTTTCTGCGAGGCTTCACTACTGTTTCTTAGTTCGTTTCATTTCCATGATTTTCGCAGCCTCTTGTGGGAGAAACTCAGTGGGAAAGAACACCTACTGTTTTACGGAAGGCTCAAAAATCTCAAAGGTCCTGTCCTAACACAAGTAAGTTTTTAAAACTAGGGTTGATTTGTGGAAGACTTGTGTTTAAAGCAAACTAAGAAAAACCGGTGAGTTTTCTTTGGTTTTAGGCTGTGGAAGAGTCGCTTCGCAGTGTTAACCTCTTCCATGGAGGAAATGGAGACAAACAAGTTGGTAAATACAGTGGAGGGATGAAGAGACGGCTCAGCGTTGCCATTTCTCTAATAGGGAACCCCAAAGTAACTTGAAACCTCTTTTGAAATCTTAACATCTATGATATGTCTTTTAAAACTTCTTCATATCTATTTTTGAGGAAATTTGTTAAAGGTTGTTTACATGGATGAGCCAAGTACCGGTCTTGATCCAGCCTCCAGGAAGAGTTTATGGAACGTAGTGAAACGGGCCAAGCGAAAAGGGGCGATTATACTCACTAGTAGAGTCTTCTAAGCTATTTTTACTCTGCCTCTTGATGACTTCAGACACGCAACTTTTTTTACTTAGGGTTTGGTTTTAATGTTTCAGCACATTCAATGGAGGAAGCAGAAGTTTTATGTGATCGTCTTGGAATTTTCGTTGATGGGAGTTTACAATGCATAGGCAATCCAAAGGAGGTAAAACTAAAACACATCTTCTACTTATAAAAGGTTGGAAACAGAGTATTAACCGTATTAACGACTAATGTTCAAAACGGAGTATAACCCTATTTTTAAGAAGAAAGTTTTAATTGAAAATCTTAATAACAGTTGAAAGGTAGATATGGAGGATCCTATGTATTGACTGTGACAACCTCAGAGGAAAACGAGCAGGAAGTGGAGGAAATAGTGCAGAACATCTCTGAGAATGCAAAGAAGATATATCGAACCTCGGGCACTCAGAAGTTTGAGCTGCCAAAGAAGGAGACGAAGATCGCTGAGGTTTTTCAGGCGGTGGAGAAGGCGAAGACGATGTTTCCGGTGGTTGCTTGGGGGCTTGCAGACACAACACTTGAAGATGTCTTTGTAAAGGTTGCTCAAACTTCTTAAATAAGAACAACTCTTTCAATGTTTTTTCTTGATCAATCTCAATTTTTCCTTCATTTTGCATTTGTGCTTACGTGTGTTATAAAGTTATTAAATTTTATATTTAAATTGTAAGATAAATTGTACAGATGTACCTACAGTAACACTGTACACACACTAAACCTAGTATAATAAGTATAGTTACCAGTTTTTTTTATTTATTGCAATTACTCTTAAATTAACATATGATTCAGCTTGTCGTTTTTTGGATATATTAATGCCATACTTATAAGATTCTCAATTATATTACTCAGTTGCGTTTTGTTGTGTACTTGAATTTTTTAATAGACAAATAGTATATACTACATAGTGTATCTCTCGACTCATATTCCTAGATATAAGACAAAAATATCAGCACTCCAGGAATATGGCATATAAAAAAGATACATAGGGTTTTGTATTGTAAATTTGGTGTTAACTTAGTTTTATCTTGATGTATATCTGAATTTCAAACGTAGATAATGTATCATTTTTCTATAAAAAAAAAAAATTGTTTTCGGTTTAGTTATGGTCCGGTCTACTCTTGACACAGACTCACATTACAGATTGGATTTGTAAACCAAATTGGATTTGATTTGAATTCCTAATTTCATTTTAAAATGGATTCGGTCTCATAGACACCATCTGAACCTTTTGAACAAAAAAAAAAAAAAAGACACCATCTGAACCTTACACGTGGATGAAGGAAGGATCGTCGTCTCGATTTTCGGGGGGTTTTGTTCGCTTGAAGTCGGTTCATGGCATCTCTTCATAAAACTATAAATAGAGAGCAAAGTCTGTGTGAAGTCGACACGGTAACAACAGGAAAAGCCAAGAGGAACAGTTTGAAAGAGATGGCGAATGTAGAGAAGATATCGAAGGCTGAGAAGGAATCATCTCGTTTCGAAGAGTTACGTGACGATCTCTTCCTTGAAGCAGCAAAACTCGTCACCGAAGAACCCTCCACCCGAATCGCCATCTTAATCACTCCTCCTTCCTCCGTATCGGCCTCTGCGCATTCCTTCGCCTATCCCTCTGTCGAAGGGGTGGTTCAGACGGTTCTCAACGATACCCGACCCGCTCCGGTATCAGAAGTTGCCGTCGAGAAGAACGATGATGATAACGAGGAACCCTCGCCACTTGATTCGATGAATCTGCAGGAACTGATGCTGGAGCGTGAAAAGTTGTCACGCCTGAGGGAGCAAGTGGAAGCCATCATAGGACATGGAAGCTCTGAGAGTCAGGACCATGTCAACGACAAAAATGGACGTAAACCCTAAGACGAATGCACCGTATTTCGAGTTTCGAATCTAGATTATGTCGCTTGCTTTTTTTTGAAACTTTAAGGCTTTTAATCTGTTGTTACCTTAAACTACAGTGTTCATTTTAAACATCAATGAATCTTTCTTACATTTTTCATTACGGGTATTTTGTCCAGACATATGCGTTAAAAGATCGTTTAAGGCTTGAAACTGAGAATTGCGTTAAATAGTTACGGACGTCACAATAATGTAATAAGGGTAGTAAATTGTACAATCTTGACGAAAGAGACAAAGTTTCTAAATATTCGGAAATAATGTTTTTTGAGAAAAATGCAAAGCACATTCTCAACACCGTAATGATTGGAACTCTGTAAAAACGGAAGCTGAACATGTTTGCTAATCTGACGGCGATGGAGTTCGGAATATTTCGAATCTGTTGTCTCTTTCATCGAGATCGTTTCAATGTTTATCACACTATTTAGGGTAAATACAAAATTCAAAGCCGACTAATACATACAAAAAAAATCAAAATTTAAAAACTGATTTCTTTTTCTTTAAGAAAAATAATCTAAAAAATCTAAAAACCCTATTGAAACGTTTTTATTTATATGTGCAGGACCTATTCTTATAGCATATGAAAGATGACAATATGAAAGCCAAGGAAATAGTGCTTAACTAAATGATGACAAATTGTTGTTAACCTCTATATGTTTTTGCTTTTTTTACAATTTCGAATTTTTTCTTAGTTTTTTTTGGATCGACTGAAGATTGAAGAGAGGGAAAGAGCGGCAACTCAAATGATCTATCCATTCAATTCACATAACTTTTCAAAATTGTTTTACATTATCACTTGTCCCATGAAACTCATATAAACACTCAAAATAAAATAAAAAATATAAGAGTTGATGAAAAAAGAAAAATACTCTTATTTATTCATATTGTTCTTGTTATTATAATAAGCACCAGACAATGATTGTAAGTAAGAATCGTGAGGGCAAGCATTGATTAATTGACGGGTTTAAAGTAAGCAAGCGCCCTGCAATCGAGACAAGCCTGGTATACCTGTGCTTCGTAGGTCTTGCTACCTCCGTCGTCTCCATCACTAACATCGAACACCAACCGGTAATTCATGCCGCTGACGGGCTGCATGTCGCCGGAAACAACCTTCTGAAACCTGAGTCCCGAGTTGTTCTGTTTGTTGTGCTCGGAGATGGCAAACTTGGCGATGAACTCAACGTGAGGGTCCTTAATGTCTCTGACAGGACCCCAACCACCACATAAATACCCTATCTCCTCTTTCATCTTTTCTCCTTTTGTCTTAAGGCTTGTCACGTGGTGTGGTGATGATTCAAAATAGTTGGATATATTACAATAAAAGAAAGATCACTCAAAATCCCAAATAATAAATACAAATCTGTATAATTTCATATATATATAATATTTCCGATATAGTAATTATGTTTACTATCTATTTAAATTTTGTTATGGTAGTAAATACAAATTTGTATAGTAATAAATCCTAAATAATAATTTATAGTAATTTGTATAGTAATAAATCCTAAATATTTTTATGTATATAATATATTTTCTAAATATGTAGTAATAATTATATAAATCATAACTATGTATTATTTATAATTTACTCTTACTTACATTTATTTTCAGAGTTTTGACCAATCAATTTGATGTTTAATTTAAAATATAGAAACTTAATTTTTAACCCAAAAAACTTAGTCTAGTTCAAGCACATAAAAATGATGACAAAAATTGCAAACATAAAAATGAAGAATCCACCCATCAAATGATTAGGATTTATCATGCTTGTTTTAGTACAATTTTCTGCGGCAAAAGCCCTTAAAAACACTAAATAAGTGAAGTAGATTCGATAAAGAATCTCACAGCATTTATATTTAAGTCTGTTCTTTTCTTATTTTATCAATAAGGGTCGGGGATGGCCCCTGAGTGATAACACTCATTCAAAAATTCTATCGAACTACGAACGGCTTGATCCCAACTTGGGTATGTAGGCAACCTTCAGTTACAGCTGTAAATTTAATAAATTTTTTATTTCAAAAAATCAGCTCGGCACGTAGAGTCGTATTTTCTTATGCGAATGCATCTTGCTGAATCGATGTTCTAGCCAAACATTCGATTCGAAAAAGTAAAAACAAAAATTATATTAGTGGCTGATCACCACTCCTTTGATAATTCGGTTCGATTTAATTACTTCCGAAGTGGATAAGACGAAAGCCGAAGACAATACTCGCACGACTCTCGATCATACCTTTCAGGCCGAAGTGAATCCTGAAAAGCTTGGTATTTGATCTTAATTGTCGTTTGGGATAAGACGGGCAAAGGAATCCGGCTCCCAACTCCGAACTAAAAAGTTCAAATCGCATAACATAAACTTTAAAAGTATTTGCGGATACTTTAATTTATTTTTGCAAAAAAAGGGGCACGAAGAGTAAAACAAAAATTCATTATAAAACGCTTTCGGGCAAAATCATTACAAAAAGACTTCGCAAGGGCCAATCAAATAAAAAACAAAAATACAAAGAGGATAAAAAGATAAGCAGCTTGATGTGGATCATCTCTTGGCTCCCTTTATGTTCGTTTTAGCAAGCTATCAATTTCTGATTTGCTCGGGAGGCTAAGGTCTTCGCCAGTAATAACTATCTTGTCGATAGCTTCACTGGTAGCTTGCCACTTCGCAAACTCCCTCTCAAAAGACGGAATCGTTCCGGCGGAGAGCTCCCATCCCTTGTCCTGCATCTTCTTCAGAAACGCCACCATCGAGCTACTCTTCACCACGCCCACAAGGGCAGCTTCTACCTCTTCTTGCTGAGCCAACGATGCCTGAATCCGCTCAAATCGCGGCTTAAACTAAGAAACCATACCGTCAAAGAACATGTCGGCAACACCCCGCGAGATCTCGTCATGAGAACTTTGAAGCTTCTTCTTTTTGGCGAGGAAGTTTTGCAAGTCTGCCTCATTCCGCTTCTCAAGAGACTCGTTATGTGCTTGGAGGGCGGCAACCTGCTTACGATACGGAGGAGCTTCCGCCACCTTGCCCCCAAAGGGTTCAACGACGCCTTCAAGCTGGGAACACCTCTACCTGAGAAGTTGATTCTCCTCTTCCGCCTTTTGGAGCTTTTTGATCTCGGCACAAGCGACGTCCATCATCATCTCCTCCTGACAAAAATTGTTATCATATGCCGTGAATGTGGACATATATGCTCACAAGCCCTGCGCCACAATCAATTGTTAGAAACACTAAACAAAAAGGGGCAGAAATGCACTAGCGCCACAAAAAAAAGAAAGAATACCCGAGCTATCAGATAATTCACCGAAGATATTGACTCCGCCAACTTCAGCTCTCGAAGTGGTTTACCCCACCTTGGGTTCTTCCTGCACTTCCAGATTAAATTCGCGGCGAACTCGCAGTTGAGCATCGCTGGAGTGGCCTCATCCTATCTCGCGCAGAAGTGATGAGGGTTGTAATCGAAGAACTCCTCCTCCTGCTTAGGATCGGCGGGAGCACTTGGACCGGCACCATCAGTACCCAGAGCATCTCGTGAGGGAGCAGGCTCCTCAGGACGAGCCGTACCAGGCTCTTTGGCCTTTTCTCGACCTGCATCTTCTGTGTCCTAGACCCCGGGACTCTGAGGAATTTCCGCCCGAGGCGGCGAGGGAACAGCCTTGCGACAGCTCGCGACAGCATCAGAGGGACCCCCATCATCCCCGCCTTCGGCTTGAGAGGTAGTTCCTTGAAACAACTCGCCTATAGGGTCCCT